ATGAATACTTATGCAATGGAATCATTTTAGTTTTTTATTTTTAATAAATTTGCAAAAATGTTAAAACCCTGTTTTTTTTGCTTGACAATTATGGTGTATGGAGTGTAGATTGTTGTGGAAAAAAGGTAATTTAAAGCAGTTTAACATAAGGCAGCAACAAAACAAAATGTGAAAAAAATGAAGGGGTATGAATACATTTACACACTGTATATGATGCAATGACATTTTATATGTTAAGTGTGGCTGAAGTGTCCAGCTACATTTCAGGCCACCGTATTTATTTGAATTTTACAAATTATTAATCTGTGTATTTTTTTATTTTTTTTAATAACTGATCTTGTTTTTTATTTTATTTTTGTTTTCAAATTAAATGTTACTTTAAGATACTATTTTAAAATAAAGTTCTATCATTTTAAACCTAACGAACCTCTTTTGTGAAATGTTTTGCTTAAAGTATGTTTTTCTTCAAACTAAATTCCACGTGATTTGATATATTTTTATGTATTAATGCACTTTAATTGTGAATTAAGTATCCAAATACTTTCCACACCACTGTTTATTTTGATTTTAAATATTAATAATCTGTTTATTTTTTTATTTTAATGCATCTTATTTTATTTTTATTCTGAAATTAAACGTTACTTTATAATATTATTTTAAATTAATTTAAAGTTTGCCACTTGATATGATACATTACACTTTAAGTGCGAATTAAGTGTCCAAATACTTTTTGGGGCCATTGTATTTATTCTAATTTCACTAATTATTTTATTTTATTTATGAATACTATTTAAATACATAAATACAATTTAAAATGATTATTTAGAATTTTTTATTTTATATATTACATGAATACTATTTAAATACATAAATACAATTTAAAATTCAATCTTTAAATTAATTAAATTTTAGTTTAATTTAATTTAAATAAAATTAGGAAAGTGAGAAGTTCACTAACTTTTAAAACTCATAAAGCTGATGCTGATTTATGAGGTCTTGACTTTGTTGTTATGGTTCTATGCAGACTGTAAAAAGCGAGTTTTCAGTGAACTGACAGTAAAGTGTGTGATTTGTGTGTTGACAGCCGTGAGCTGCTGCAGGAAGTGCTGGACTCCGACCTCAGCAGCGATGCGTTTCCCTTCTCCACACACAAGATAGTGAACGCCGCTGGACACAAGGTAACGCTCTCTCTTTCTCCCTGTCCTCCATCTTTGTGCAGTTCCTGCTCTGTCTGACACTCTCAGACACATTTGCTCATGCTCTAATTAGTGGCACCCGCTTCAGCAAAGCATCGCTATTATTATTTATCAACTTTTGTTATTTTTCAAGCCAAAAATTCAGCTCATAACTCACCCTGTACCATGTGTCATAGACATGAAAGATGTGCCTCTTATGCCTATTATTGAGGAGATGTGTGCTGATTTATGCATATTGCAGCTAGATGAGCAGGTGTTTCACATTATAACTGTTACTATAATGCAATTTTTTGCCGAAATGCTGTATTGACCAATCAGCACCCAGAACCGGAATATTGTATTTTATTTTGTATTTATTTTATTTTATTTATTTATTTATTCCCACTACTCAGTGTCTCTGTCAGTCTCATGGACACTTTCTGTTTGTGTGTGTGTGTGTGTGTGTGTGTTTATGCACGTCAGACAGATGGTCTACTTCCACTCTTGTGACTAACATAGACACACAGCTCTATATTGGCTGATGGCTGGTGTCGTCCTCTTTAATCTCTGCTCACTCCTTCACTCTCTTTTTCTCTTTTAATTTATAACAGTGTATATCAAGAAAAGCAAAGCCAAAAAAAAAAAAAAAGTTTGTAGTTCATGCAGTTAATAGAATCAAGCACCATTGTTATTTATGCATACATTAGACATTACATTACAGTAGATTCATTTTCTTTGTAGATGCTTCATAACCAAAGACTTCCACCTGACTGGTGGTGAATTTAAACGACACAATGTAAGCCTAATCGAGGAATATGGACATTGAGCTTGAGGTCAGTCAGTGCATGGAAGTGAGCAAGAATGATTCGTTCATTTAAAAGATTTGTTAAAAAGCACCAATATGATGGAGACGGTAAATCAGTATACAGTACTTGCATTTTTCAATAATTTCATAATCACGGATAAATATAAATACATTTTTTATGATTATTTCTAGAGCTGTAATTGGTAAACGTAATACTGTATTTTAAATGTGCGTATTTATGTGCATTTTTATTCAAGCAGACGTAACACATACAGTTTCTGACAATCTCATGTTAATCTTGAGTACCTATAGAGTAGTATTGCATCCTTCATATCTCCAAACAGTCTTTAGTTTTATCATATTTTCAAGAAATTCCACCCTTCATGACACCCTTCATACAGGGCCATACTCGACAGAAAACTTTCCGAAACTTTTACAAACCCTGAAGGGGTGTATTTGCCACAGAAATACTCTGTCATATGTCCAACTCATTTTTTGAGACTTTGGTCATGTTTATCATAAGAATCCAACTCTTTATCTGTGTAAATAAGTCAGAATGCATGAAATAGCATTAGACCTGCCCTTTAACTAATTGTTTTTATTATCAAATTGGAAATACTTGATTCTGTTTTGCGACATGCATTTATTTATATATATATATATATATATACATTTTTCAAATGATTATTGAGTGTCACATTTGGCCCTTTCTGTGATATCATTAAAAAGTACAGTACTGTTCAAGATTTTATGGTCGGTCAGATTTTTTTTTTTTTATGTTTCTTGAAGAAGTCTCTTCTCGGCGCAATTTATTTGATCAAAAATACAGTAAAAATAGGAATATTGTGAAGTATTATTACAATCTAAAATAACTGTTTCCTATTGTAATATATTGTAAAATGTAATTTATTTCTGTGATCAAAGCTGAATTTTCAGCGTCATCTCACATGATCCTTCAGAAATCATTTTAATATGCTGATTTGATGCTCAATAAACATTTCTTCTTATTATTATTATCAATGTTGAAAACAGTTGTGCTGCTTCATATTTTGTGGAAACCATGATGCTTTTTTTTCAGGATTCTTTAATCAATAGAAAGTTCAAAAGCATTTATTTAAATCTGAATTAATTTGTAACATTAAAATCGTCTTTACTGACACTTTTGAACAACTTATTGCATCCTTGCAGAATAAAATTATTAACTTAAAAAAAAAACACATCTGGTTGAATGCATTTTTTGGTGACATATAGAAGTGGGTAAATCTGAAATCAGGGATCATATACACATGCATCATCCTGCTTCTGTTTGTTTTAAACTAAACTCTTGAGTATCTTTCAAACTTTTTATACCCTGAACCTTACAAACAGCAAAAACAGTGGCTCTTCAAGAGCTGCTGGTAACACACCAACTTCATTCCTGCAAAAACCGATAAAGACCTGTGCACTCTGACTCCCAGATACTGCATAAAACCAGCCAATCAGATTGGAACCGGCGATTTTTGCCAGCTTTTGGTTGAATATGCTTCAAGCGGTCTGTACGGTCTGCAGATGGGTTATCTGAGGCTAAGACCCTGGCCTAGTGGATTGTGGGTAACAGGGTCTCGAGCTATTGAAACAGTGTCTTGAATTAGACGACAACTATTGACGGCCAGAAACGCTTCACATGCTCACTGTATCTCCCTGCAGGTTACAGTCGAGAGCGCAGTGCTTGTTTCTGGCTGATAATGGTGTCCTTCACATGATCTCAGTCCTGCCAGATTGATTTCAGCCCCTCAGGCCTGGCACAATGAACCGCTCCTCTCTGCTCACTGCAAACACACAGTAATGCACACACTCGGCTGCGTCTGTTCTGGAGAACGACCAGGCTATTATCTGAGTGACTGTTGTGTGCTTTGCTGCTTAGGGCTGTTGATTCTTCTCATTTGGCCGGCTGCTGTATCTTGATCCCTGGTTGGGTGTTAATGTGTGTTCGGTAAGAGAGAGAGGCAGGTACTTCAGCTCAGTTTCATGAACAGTTGAGCTTTAAGTTAATGGAGGCTGGACAGATGGACGCCAGGATGAACGTCTACTGAAACTGTTCTCACCTCATTTTTCACAGCGTTCTCTGACTGTCTTTATGGAAAATACTCTGAGTTCGTCATGTAACTCTTGTGCCGGAATTATTATTAACATTAAAACCATTTTAAGATTTACCACATTTACAAGACAGTTCAACTCTGAGCTTTTGTCTAAGTTGTTTGAAATGTACTTTTAAATTTACACTACCATTCAAAAGTTGAGGTCAGTAAGATTGAAGGTGTGTCCCAAATCGAGTACTTATGCACTATTCTATGACGTTTTGTAGTATAAATAATGCGAGTAGTGTGTTCACAGTGAAAATTCCAAAAAGAAAAAGTACACTTTAAACACCCGGATGATGCACTTAAATAACCGAAAAAATGAAGTGTGGAATGTTGGACACTTCATGCACTCAATTGTCGCAGCTTTAATTACGTACCGAAGGGGGAGGGGCTATGAGACTCCGATTATGAATGACAAAATAACATTATATAATTCATACACTACATCGTTGAGTACATAGTGCATAAGTACATAGTGTATGAGTGCAGAGTGTATAGTGCGTCATTTGAGACGCAGCTTGAGATTCGTAAGAGATTTCGATTTTTATTCATCAAGGTCACATTAAATTGATCAAAAGTGACAGTAAAGACATTTATTAACAAAAGATTTCTATTTCACATAAATGGTGTTCTTTTGAACTTTATATTTAACAAAGAATCCTGAAGAAAAGGTTATCACAGTTTCCACAAAAATGTAAAGCAGCAAAAACTTTTTGATAATTGTAATTGATAATAATCAGAAATGTTTCTCGAGCAGCAAATCAGCATATTAGAATGATCTCTGAAGGATCATGTGACACTGAAGACTGGAGTAATGATGCTGAAAATGAAAAAAATTATTTTTATTACCGTTCCCAAATTTTTGCATGATAGTGTCTATTTAATTTTATTTGTTTGAATGGAAACGGTTTATTCAGATATCAAAGTGCTTTCAGAGAAAGTCAAAAATTCAACATGTAATTTTAGTATTCTTGAATAATATAAAAATATACTTTATCATACTATTAGACTATTTTCTACTTTTGTTCTGTTTAGTCTCATCTGTCTTGGTTTTAACCTCTATCACCCATAAGGGATTTTTAGGGGCCAAGCACTGAACTATTCCAGGGAGCCGGGTAATGAAACAAACTACAGTACACTCATGTACTCTTTCTTATAACAAACGGATGCAATTTCTCTTCTGCATTTAGCATAAAATTGTCCTTTTTTCTTTCTTTCTTTCTTTTTTGTGTGTGTTTATAGGTGAGGGCCATGCGTTTGTCATTCGTGGGTGAGATGGGCTGGGAGCTTCACATCCCTAAAGAGTCCTGTCTGCCCGTCTACCACGCCGTCAGGGCCGCAGGGGCCAAATATGGCATTTGTAATGCTGGCTACAGGGCCATTGACTCCTTGAGCATTGAGAAAGGTAAGGGTTAATGTTATTATTATTACTATCACTTTAATTCACTGTCACTATCAATGTTATTTTGACTTGGGTCAGTAAGAAACCATCCAAAACCACACAACCACTCTGCAGTGCCTTGGCAGTCACCCTAACTTGTGCGACATTTTGCGTAGGATCACTAACATTTTCTTCTGGAAACATAAAAATCTAGTTCAGTAGTAAAAGATGACGTTATGAGTGTTGGCTATCTGAGGTGCCCTTTTAGTGTGTCAAGGTCAGTTGATTTACCATGGGGTTTGTTGATGAACAGTGTTTGGGTTACTAGAGTTTGATTCAACAGATCTCGATTGATCTGCGATACATTTTCGATTCACACCGCAAGCATAAATCATCATTGTATCGCTCTCCAGTAGAGCCACATATATAATTCATTCTTAGTGCTTCTTTCAGCCTTAAATGGCCGTTTTTCTGCTGCAGCACTGGTCAAGTAATGCAGTAAATGCACACAGGTGGAGATAATAGTTCAGATGTACTGTAGGCTGGTAGGCGTCTCTTATGCATTGAGCTCTTTGTGGAATTAAAGGGAGAAGTAGACAGCGGGGCACAATAAAAACTCATTACTGCAGCTGAAGACTTCAGCACTTCCACTGCACTCTTAAGACTCACTATGTAGGTCATATCTACTAGACTGTGGTTGAAATACTCTACCTGAGTGCAAGATGAAGAAATAAGTCCATCTCTGTTTGTGTGAATGCATCAGCATGCTAGTGATAATGGATGTGTGATTTCATGTTTAGTGTTTCTCTGCATTTGGTTCAATGACGTGATGCTCTTTGGATCTATTAATTATTTAAAAGTATTTAAAAATGCCATTTACACAGACAATGAAATAAAGCACTCTTTATGATAGACAGTGTTTTTTATTTTCTGAATTAAAATGAATTTTGATCCCTTTTGTGGGGTCAGGTTTAAAATGTTAAGATTATAAGAGATTGTAACAAAGAAACAGTAATATTAAAAGCTGACACTCTCTAATTATTATTATTATTAGAATTCTTGTTTGTTTGTTTACAAAATTATTATTTCCTGAAAGGAAAAATAAACATTTTTGTTGTAAAATATTATTAATATAAAAAAAAATCGACATTACAGTTTAAAAATATGGTGTCAGTATGATTTTTTCAAATGTTTCATAAAGTAAAAAAAAGCTCATACAGAAAAATCAGTAATATTGTGAAATATTATTACAATTTAAAATAACTTTTTTTCTATGTTAATATATTGTAAAATGTAATTTATTTCTGTGATGCAAAGCTGAATTTTCAGCATCATTACTCCAGTCTTCAGTGTCACATGATCCTTCAGAAATCATTCTAATATGCTGATATTTCCATTAATCGGCAATTATTTAAAAAGAAATTGTGGAAAATGTAATACATTTTTTCAGTGTTCTGTAATGAATAGAAAGTCCAATATATATATCTCTTTATTTATATATCTCTTTTGTCACTTTTGACTAATTTAATGTGCCCTTGCTGAATAAGTATTCATTTCCTTCAAAATAAAAAAATAAAATAAAAATCTGACCCCAAACTTTTGAACGAGTGTATATGCAGGAAGTCATTCTGTTCAAAACATTTTTACAATTATTAAATCAAAATTCTGTTGACCAGGTTTGTTTATTTTTTTTTATTGTTCAAAAGTGGTTTTGAATGAACTGTCTATCTCTCTCTTTTTCAGGTTACAGACATTGGCATGCAGATCTGCGGCCTGATGACACTCCACTAGAGGCAGGACTTGCATTCACCTGTAAGATGAAGACCTCCATTCCCTTCCTGGGCCGGAAGGCGCTGGAGGCCCAAAAGGCTGAGGGCCTGCGCAGACGAATCGTCTGCTTCACAGTTGATGAGTGAGTCCCAGCACACCAAAGAAGAGATTTCAACAAAATCATAGTTCTCACTGTTAAGAATGTAGACGTAATAAAAAAGGCAGGAATATTAAGATGGTAGATTAACTGGAGGATTTAATAGGCCTTTGACTGAATTTCGAAATCATTTTAGCAGTTATTTCTCTGTTTGCTTTAAGCATTTTGTTTTAGCATTACATCAGTTGCTCACCAGTGGATGCTCTGCAGTGAATGGGTGCCGTCAGAATGAGAGTCCAAACAGCAGATAAAAACATCACAATAATCCACAAGTAATCCACACCACCCCAGTCCATCAGTTAATGTCTTGTGATGTGAAAAGCTGTGTGTTTGTACAGAACAAACTTGATTCTGGCTGACTTTTTCACTGGAGGAAGTGTTATTATGGATTGTGGACTCATATTTTAGCCAGAAGCAATGGTTTGACGTTAAGAATGTCTTAATGATGGATTTGTTTCTTACAAACACACAGCTTTTCACTTCACACAACATTAACTGATGGACTGGAGTGGTGTGGATTACTGTGAAGAAACAAACTGGTATACATCCTGGATGGCCTGAGTGGGGGAGTATATTTTCAGCAAATTTTCATTTTTGGGTGAACGTCTTTAAAATTCAAAGCACAGCAGTAGACTAATATGCTGGTCATCACTGGTTTCATAGCCTCCGGTATTTGGCAAGTTTTTTGACATTTATTTACAAACCGTCTTGACTTAAAAGTGAATAATTGCTGTAATTCCGAACTAATGATATTATACATCACAATACATTTGACTGATAAGGTTTTTCAAGGAGACATCTGAGTTTGACCAACACTTTCCACTTTTCATGTCCACTTAGAGCTTCATTCGTTCCTGACATGAGCCTTAGTCAATACAAGTTCAGTCATTTTAAACTATATACTTTATAATTTATAGAAGTTGAATTCACAACAAACTTGGATTCAGTGATGTTAATACTTTTTAGAAGTTGCAAGCAAACAGCCAATTCTGGATATGGCCTCAAGGATCTGCCATGAATGCCATGCAGTTTTTCTGGACCAGTGTTCATGTTATTTAGGTATCCTCATTTGATCAGCACTGATGTGTTGTTTGTCTTTCCTGCAGGAAAGTGCCAATGTTTGGTCTGGAAACTATTTTCCGCAATAGTGTTCCTGTGGGACACCTGAGGCGCTCCGAATTTGGATTTGCCATTGACAAGACCATTGGCTATGGTTATATCCGCAACCCAGATGGTGGAGTGGTGAGTACCATACAACAGCTGTCTGCCTAAAGGCTAGAATACACTACATGATTTTTGCCCCGATTTACAGTCTAGAGAAGTCGATGCTAGTTGACCGATTTCATGGGAAATCATGTAGTGTATGATGGTCACAGACGCTATGATTCCATCCAGTCAGAGGATATCAAAAAGGTTTGATATTTTCAGCCAATACGGTTTTGAAAGGAAGGTGGAGACTTCATTTCGATGTAGTCTAAAAGTGCAGTCACATTAACGAAATTTTTATGAAGATTCTGGGGCAAAAAGGTCAATTCGATTGTAATAGTGTAGATGTATGAAACTCAGCTCACACAGAAGTCCATTTCAAAACAAGCAGCTTTCTGTTGGTCAAAGTGGTAAATTCACATGAATATCTGAACCAAGTGTGAAATCTGCGTAGGGAAATCTTTTGCCAAAGTTCCCAATCACGTGGATTTCTGTTCACTGAACAATGGCAAATGTGACCGAACCACAAGGCAACATCAAAGACAATCCCAGAATGCACTGCACAGAGTGAAAAAGTTCATCTAAGGTGGTGGATGTAGAGAGAAATGCAGAAAAAAATAGACGATTTTACCAAATATTTGTGTGTGCTATGGGTCATATTTTAATTTGGGGACCAATTCCACTATTAACTACAACTTTTGCCACACTAAAATGCTAATTACTGCTTACGAACATTTAGTTAAGGTAGTTGTCAAGTTTGCGTATAGGGTAGGATTAAGGAATATGGTCATGCAGAATAAGGCATTAATATGTGCTTTGTACATACTGATAAACAGCCAGTATGCTAGTAATATGCATACTAGTAAGCAACTAGTTAATAGTGAGAATTGGTCCCTAAACCAAAGTGTTACCATGCTATGTATTTTAGGCATACTACTGTAGATTGCATTATTAGCATAGCAGCATGCTATCATCTACAGAATCTGTATTGAAATCAGTTGTAAATCAAGTGATAAGGCAATAGGCAGTAGAGAGCAAGGCAGATAGGCTGCATACAGCTGTTTTATGTTTTACTCACACAGTCAGATCAGACATCAGAATATGAGAATGGGTCACTTCTTATCATCAACGTGATATTTTAAGTATAATTGAACTGTGGCAAGTACTTCTAACAGATAAGTATTAAGAAGCCCTCTTCTCCTCTGATTTGTGTCTTTGTTGCATATGCACTTGTTTCCCTTCTCTGCTGTTATGACTGAGAGTGAGTCATGCGAGTTGTTCCTCATATAGGCTAATTTAACAGGCCTGTAAAGAGCGATGATTAGATGAAGGTTACTGTGTGCCATCGTCTCTGCTGAGCACATGCTGCCATTATTGTGAAGTGCTCATTTCCATTTCTTAAGTTTTAATACTTACTATTCTGAAATTAATGGTGGGGTTAAGTATGGGTGCTGTGACCTAAACCTTATATCATCATATGACCGTTTTTGGTGAAAATTCAGTGAAAAAAATGTTTAATGTAATAACCTTTAACATAAATAACAATGAAACATAAATGTATTAAATTATTATTAATTTAAATTAATTACAATTATTATTATTTAATATAATAATTTATTAAATAATACAGAAAAATGTATAAAAAAAACAGGAAGGGGGCAAAAACCTTTTCACGGCACTGTAGGTTTGTCAAGTGTCAAGGTCTCTCGTCCATGTATAAAATGGTTTATATACAGTTTTGCTCATAAGTTTACATACCCCTTGAAGAATATGCAAAATGTTACTCATTTTCACAAAATAAGAGGGATCATGAAAATTGCACATTATTTTTTATTTAGTACTGTCTTGAATAAGCTATGTCACATAACGGATGTTTATATATACTCCACAAGACAAAATAATAACTGAATTTATAAAAAAATTATTAAATTATTATATTAATTGAATATTAATACTGTGTGTTGTTTCCTGGGTGATCCACGACTGTTTTTATGTTTTGTGATGGTTGTTCATGAGTCCCTTGTTTGTCTTGAACAGTTCAACTGCTTGTTGTTCTTCAGAAAAATCCTCCAGCTCCTGCACATTCTTTGGTTTTCCAGCTTCTTCTGCATATCTGAACCCTTTCCAACAGTGACTGTATGATTTTGAGATCCATCTTTTCACTCTGAGGACAATTGAGGGACTCATACATAATAATTACAAAAGGTCAAAACATTTACTGATGCTCAAGAAGGCAACACGATGCATTAAGAATAAACTTTTGAACAGGATGATGATGATGATTTTTCTTCTGGTCGCTTTGTCCACATACGAAACGCTGGTCTGCCATCGCAGAGGGATCCCCAGCCTGACACGTCCGTGGGAACCACTATTCGTCTAACTACTCTGGCCATAGCAGCACCCTATTCGTACATGGCTGTGCCAACCAGTGCGTCAGTGCTTCGAGACATGAGCGCGTTATGACAAGGCACATTGTCCCTGCTCTCCACGCTTGCCATGGGACACGACTCTGTAACCATAGTTGCAGTGCCCTCATGCAGCAAGCCCCGTTGGCAGACAGAGACTGCAGCTGCCATCAGTCCAGCAATCTCTGATACGTTTTCAGGGGACGGCTCGGCCCTGCACAAAAGTGGCCAGTGTATCGTGAATGGACTGAACTCTCTGTGCTGATAAGTGCGTGAGCATGCAGGGGAAACCTTGCATCGCGGAAATAAGTGCGACTGGACTTTCTCTACTCTGTTAATAGCTGACCGCTGCTCTACGGCAGGGGCTGCTTACAACGTGTGAATGAGTGAGCGACTGGATTTTCCTGAGCTCTGAACGTGGCTAACCGTTGCTTTGAGGCAAGGGGCTGCCGCTATCATGTGAATGAGTAAGCGATTGGGACTTCTCTGTGTTCTGTACACGGCTGGCCACTGCTCAGAGGCAAGGGGCTACTGATATCCCGCAAATTAGAGAGCGATTGGAACTCCTTCATGCTCTGCTTACAGCTGGCTGCAGCTTTGAGGCAATGGGGTGCTGATATGGAAATTTCCTGTGAATGAGCGATCGAGTGACTGGACCTTCTCCATGCTCTGCACACAGCTGGCCACTGCTCTAAGGCAAGGGGCTGCTCATATCCAGCGAATTAGTGAGAGCCTGGAACTTTTCTGTGCTCTGCACATGACTGGTCACTGTTTTGAGACAAGGGGCTGCTGGTATCATGTGAATGAGCGATCGAGCGACTTGAGATTCTCCGTGCTCTGTACACAGCAGGCTGCTGCTTGAATCATGCGAATGAGGGTCTGTGAAACCCTGTAAACCTTCTCTCATAGAGAGCACTGTCAGCGACAGGGCTATTTTCCCGCCAACTTCAGGTCCCGGCTTAGGGTGGGAGGGTTGAGGTAAACACAGGAACTGGGCCCGTGCCGCTTGCTTCCGAAGTTCTTAGGGTATCGCTTAATGGCTGGTAGACAAACACGGGCTGTACTGCATCTGTGTGAGGGCCGCCCAGGCAGAAAGACAGTGAATATCCATTCTGAAGGAGACATGGGAGGTTTAGGTGAATTGACACGTCGCATGCCCATCTCCTAAACTTTCTGTCCCAAGCTGCCATGCCTTCTGTCTCCACGGCTCAGCAGCAGAGGTGAGGAAGTGAACGGACAGCTTATCCGTACTATAAGTGACGTGACATGTGGTGACCCATACTCGGAATTAGTGCTCTGCATTTATCCCATCCAAAGTGCACAGACACAGCAGTGAACACACACACACCGTGAAAATACACCCGGAGCAGTGGGCAGCCATTTATGCTGCGGCGCCCGGGGAGCAGTTGGGGGTTCGGTGCCTTGCTCAAGGGCACCTCAGTCGTGGTATTGAAGGTGGGAGAGAGCGCTGTACATCCCCCCCCCCCACCTACAATCCCTGCCGGTATGAGACTCGAACCCGCAACCTTTGGGTTACGAGTCCGACTCTCTAACCATTAGGCCACGACTTCCCCATAAGAAGATGTTATACTCACCGGAACACTGCAGGGAATGGCAATTCGGGCACCTTCCACTGAAGCGCGTACCTTCAACGGTGAGCGATAAGAGGCTTCTTGAAACAGCATCGCTAAGTGAAGGAGAAAGATTCTGAGGGAACTTGTCACTCGACATCACCTATATAGCGGCTGAGCCCGCCAATCAGGTGAATGCTTGAACGCCATTGGCTATTACGGAGCAATAGAGTGATTCAATCAGGCTTCAGCATCTCGGAGGAAAAGGGTTTCCCCATACATAATGTCGAGAGACCGAATCGATAAGGGAACCATCTTTTGTGTGGAACTACTTCTTTCCTCCATGGATTCAAATCTCAGTTTGACAGTGTAACAGCTGAGCCCAAGTCTCCGTTACTAATTCGAAAACGTCACTTTAGAACTAGTAACGAAGGAACGTTGAGTTGCTTCATTGTATTATTGCATTACTGTATTAAAAGCTCACTGACACAAACACACCATTTCTCAATACTAAATACTATTATTATTAAATACTACTATTATTTATATAAAATATTATTTTTTGAATAATAATATTTAATAAACAACAAAAACAGCCATCATAAAAGTTGCTAGGCAATTCAGTCAAAAGTACAAAGGCAGCACTCTGATATACAGCGTGTGATTCAATCAGGCTTCAGCATCTCGGAGGAAAAGGGTTTCCCCATACATAATGTCGAGAGACCGAATCGATAAGGGAACCATCTTTTGTGTGGAACTACTTCTTTCCTCCATGGATTCAAATCTCAGTTTGACAGTGTAACAGCTGAGCCCAAGTCTCCGTTACTAATTCGAAAACGTCACTTTAGAACTAGTAACGAAGGAACGTTGAGTTGCTTCATTGTATTATTGCATTACTGTATTAAAAGCTCACTGACACAAACACACCATTTCTCAATACTAAATACTATTATTATTAAATACTACTATTATTTATATAAAATATTATTTTTTGAATAATAATATTTAATAAACAACAAAAACAGCCATCATAAAAGTTGCTAGGCAATTCAGTCAAAAGTACAAAGGCAGCACTCTGATATACAGCGTTAAAGTTACATAAAATATAACGTGATGAGATTTTGCCCTCAGCCGGTGAGATTTACCCAAAACGAATTATATCTCATGTTTAACCACTATAGAGACATTAGAGCCAGCGGCAAATTCCAGAAGATCTGGCCGAAGTGAGGCTGCTCTCGCCGGGTTCATGAGTGCTGAACGGCCGCTGATGCCCTGGATATCTCCAAAACATTCAAATAGGCATTATCTTTATTAACAAACTGCATATTTGAAGTCTGAACTACATTCTAAACTAAAAGAAACTCTTAAAACTACATTACGTGACGCAAAAACAGTATTATTTATAAAATTATAAATCAGCCAATCGGATTGTATAAATGTGTATATATATATATATATATATATATATAAATAAACAGTGTGAGTCTGTGTGGGTGTGTGTTATGATTCTTGGACACAGTGGCAGCTCTGAAGTCCGTGTACTGTGAGTATGACATGATACAGGGGGATGTGTACTTAATGTTAACTGACAGAGAGCTAGATGAGGAGGGACAGATGGGGAGGTAGAGTTGAGACGTCTCCATTCCACAGCATAGACGGCAGTGCTGTTGAACAGGGTTAAGCGCTGTTCTGATCAGACCTTTACTCTCTCTGCTCACTGCATTACACACCACTGACACATCACTGGACATAATGTCAGAGAACTATTATTCACGGCCGAGAGACCTCGAGACTTCATGCATAAGACTTTTCATAGTTTCTAGTTCAAATTTTTTAAGTTTCCAAACCCGTGTGACTTACTTTCTACAGTGGAACACAAAAGAGGAAATTTTGAAAAATGTCCTGGAGAGTTTACAAGCTTCAAAAGGACTGAAAGCATTGTAAAAGCAGCCCTTACTAGTCAATGTATTTACTTACTAGTAAATAAATACTATAATTCGTTCAAATAAATGTGGTCTTACCCCACTCTTTCATCTGCTAACGAGACGTAACTGACAAAAATAACCATCATTTTTACCCTTCCAGTTAAATATTGCGCTGCTAACATCATAAACAGCTTTAAGTTGGCAATGCTGGTAAATAACCATGGTACCATTGGATAATACACGGCTAGCGGAGGCAACCACCGAAATCGTTTAATGCACAGCTAGCCATGCATTATCCCTTACATATAGCATTTTTTTTTTATAAAATTGTTATTGTTTATTCTTTAGCATATAAACATTATAAGAAATATAAGACTGTGTATGTAATGGCTTTAATGAGGGAAAAACTACAGTCCCCTGATGCTTTGAATATGACAATTTAAAAACAATGGAGAAATGGAAAACTATTGATTTAAAGATGCTGATTGTGTATATGGAAACTATATTTTATGTTTATTGCAGAATATGAATAGATATACAAATATTTAAGCAGGTCCGTGCATAGAAGGACTGATTCGATTACGTGATTCGCAGTGCTTCATGGAAGTGGGAGGAGTTAAAGAGTTTTTGCTTGTCGCGAATTCACCACAATTATGAATACTTAAAAAATAAATAAATAACCTGACTGCTTCAACAAAGCATATATCATCAATAAATAAACTTTGATATTTTGCCTTTTTTGTGTTTGCATTTTGATACCTTTAAATACATGTATGCAGGAGTATGTGGAGCTCAAGACACTCTGTAGAGCTTCTGTATTAACTGCATGTGCAAATAGAATGTTTTATTTGTACACTGCACAGCAGTTTTGCTTTAGTTACTATAGCTACAGCTGCGGCTTACTGCTTAATTCTTTGTAGCAATCAGTGGATATCTACCAATGTGTCCATTAAGACTGCAATGTGCCCACTTACAGAGGTCAGGCTAGTTTTCCAGCAACTGCGTCTTGATCTCGACTCCACAGGGTAATGCCTGCAGCTCGTTCAGATTTAATTAAAAAGAGATGCAACCCCGGACAGAGAGCGAGCCGCAGGGGCACAGATAGAAAGAGAGGGATGTGAGAGCAGACCTAATTTCTGTTGCATGGTTTGACACTGTGATATGAATGAAAAAAAAAAAAAACATTAATGTGGATTAAAAGCCTTTTCATTTTAATCATAAATCCATTTTACTCAAACTTCACTTGAATTTGTCCATGTTCACTTCGCCCCCAGGTGAGCCCTGATTTCGTCCGCAGCGGTGAATTCACTCTGGAGAGGATGGGCGTCACATATAAGGCTACGGCTCACCTGAAATCTCCCTTTGACCCCGAGAACAAGCGTGTTAAGGGCATCTACGGCTGAACAAAGCCAGAATGTAACTGATCCAGACTGATTCAGTGTAACTGAGGTAAATGTTTACGGGCCTTTATCCAACACATCAGCATCAGCATTCCAGGACAGAAATAAATACACTTCTGTATTTATATTCACTGGTTTTAAGGGATGATTCACCATAAAGATCATAGAAGAACAATGAACTAATGTGAATTTCAGAAATAGCCTGGGTATACAGTGTAATAGTGTTCAGCTTCTTTCAGTGCCTTAAATTTCATCTTTTTCAGAAAGAAATCATTTATATTTTTCAGAAAACCATGAGCCTGTCTCTTGACTTTTTTGTACTAGCTTGAATATTCGTGAGTGTTTTCATAGAATAGCTGTGCATTAAAGATGTTAGTCTTGGTTAAATGTAAAATAAAATCAAATAAAAAAAAATAACTGTAAGTTTGATTACTGTAACTTTTGCCAAATATAAATCTGTGGAATTAAATAAGATGTAGTCACATGATGTGAAAGTATTTTCTGTGTACAGGTTACAAATCATTTTGTATGCTGTATTTTCCAGACAGAATGAGAGAAATTAAATATGATTTCTGCATGTTGGGCCATCAGTTCATCCACATGTACTGTAACCATTAAATGACCATTTCACTGGATTTTAACCAGTAAAACAATAACCAAGGCATTTAATTTCCTTATTGCTAATAATAGTAATTCTTTCTAAAGTCTTTAATCTGTCTGCTCTTTAACTTCATTTGTTTAAATGGAAAGTGGGAATTTGCAAAATGTATGAAGATTAAAACCAAAATTTCTCATATTGTAAACACTGCAACTGTCATATTGTTTTTATGACTCCTTGTAGGAGAACATAAACTTCCATTCAAAAGTTTGGGTTAAGTAAGATTTTATTTTTTTTGATAGAAATTAATGCTTTTTATTTAGCAATAATGATTTAAATTGGCCAAAATGACAATAAAGCCATTTATAATCGTTCAAAAGATTTTTATTACAGATAAATGCTGATCTTTTTTAACTGTATATTTATTGAAAGAAAAAACGTATCACGGTTTCCACAAAAATATGAAGCAGCACAACTGTTTTCAACATTAATAATAATTAAAAATGTTTCTTAAGCAAAAAAATCAGCAAGTTAGAATGATTTCTGAAGGATCATGTGACACTGAAGACTGGAGTAATGATGCAGGAATAAATTACTAATAAATGAATAATTTTACAATATATTACAATAGAAAGCAATTGTTTTAAATTGTAATAATATTTGACAATATTACAGTTTTTATTGTATTTTTGATCAAATAAATGCAGCCTTGGTGAACAGAAGATACTTTACCATTGCATAATGCCTACTATTTTGCTTACTGTCTTTTAAAATAGTAGACAGTATTCAGTGTGTACTTTACAATGACGTTAACTTTTCAAGTGTAATGCACCTTTATCCATATAAATGCTGTTGTATGTCCACTGCTGACCTTATAAACTGCAACTTCCCACATAAACGTAATGTAATATCTTAACCTAAACACAAAACCGTACTTGGGTAATTTATTTAATGTGAATGCACACATCTTTGAAGCACACATCCTCCAGGCTGCTGCACGGACGTGTTGTTGAGAACAGTAAAGGTTGAGCTCAGCAGGAGTCAGATGCATGTGTGGGCATCAGACGCTGCCGTCGGACCTGACCTCTGTAGGGTTGTCATTCTGAGAGGACGCTCAACGGCTTAATTCACACGGGTACGGGGCTCTCTGGAGCTCCGCCGTCACCACTGGTATCTCCTGCTTCTCCCATTCACCCTAAAATACATTGAACGTTAATACAAAGAAACATCCTCATTTTAACACCGTTCAACCTGACACGACAGTGTGTTCTCATATATTGTTTTTATGACTCCTTGTAGGAGAACATAAACTTCCATTCAAAAGTTTGGGTTAAGTAAGATTTTATTTTTTTTGATAGAAATTAATGCTTTTTATTTAGCAATAATGATTTAAATTGGCCAAAATGACAATAAAGCCATTTATAATCGTTCAAAAGATTTTTATTACAGATAAATGCTGATCTTTTTTAACTGTATATTTATTGAAAGAAAAAACGTATCACGGTTTCCACAAAAATATGAAGCAGCACAACTGTTTTCAACATTAATAATAATTAAAAATGTTTCTTAAGCAAAAAAATCAGCAAGTTAGAATGATTTCTGAAGGATCATGTGACACTGAAGACTGGAGTAATGATGCAGGAATAAATTACTAATAAATGAATAATTTTACAATATATTACAATAGAAAGCAATTGTTTTAAATTGTAATAATATTTGACAATATTACAGTTTTTATTGTATTTTTGATCAAATAAATGCAGCCTTGGTGAACAGAAGATACTTTACCATTGCATAATGCCTACTATTTTGCTTACTGTCTTTTAAAATAGTAGACAGTGTTCAGTGTGTACTTTACAATGACGTTAACTTTTCAAGTGTAATGCACCTTTATCCATATGAATGCTGTTGTATGTCCACTGCTGACCTTATAAACTGCAACTTCCCACATAAACGTAATGTAACATCTTAACCTAAACACAAAACCGTACTTGGGTAATTTATTTAATGTGAATGCACACATCTTTGAAGCACACATCCTCCAGGCTGCTGCACGGACGTGTTGTTGAGAACAGTAAAGGTTGAGCTCAGCAGGAGTCAGATGCATGTGTGGGCATCAGACGCTGCCGTCGGACCTGACCTCTGTAGGGTTGTCATTCTGAGAGGACGCTCAACGGCTTAATTCACACGGGTACGGGGCTCTCTGGAGCTCCGCCGTCACCACTGGTATCTCCTGCTTCTCCCATTCACCCTAAAATACATTGAACGTTAATACAAAGAAACATCCTCATTTTAACACCGTTCAACCTGACACGACAGTGTGTTCTCATAGGTATTTTTACATGCACTCATTTTTGTCAATCCAAATGTAGATTCTAAAAGTTCTGTTAACTATAAACTTTGTAATCCGATTCACATATTCATTTATGAGAAAACAAAAATGAAGAAAGCAAGCTTGATTGACTTGACCTGCCAGAACTAACGCTATGCTTGATATGTCTGCACGCATCTAAAAAAAGACATCAGAAAAGCTTTTTAGCAAATATGTAGCAAATATTAACCATCCTCCATTGATCAGTTCAAGATAATGTAAATATTATGTAAATCAATGCACATTTGAAAGATATAGTATGTATGTAAAATTACAAGGCTCTATGCATTTGTGCAATTTATGTTTTAATCAGTTTGAGCAAGTAGAGAGATTCAGGGTTTTCTGTGTGAAGTTACATTCATATGCGAATGGAGAATCAGATCTGATTTGAGCTTTGAGTGCATTGAAATATTTTGCAGATAGACCATATATGAACTGGCCAACCGGATGTGATGAATTCCAATCAAAACTATGAGCGTTAAAAATGAGAATTACCAATATGCAATACTATTTCTGTAAAAACCACCTTTCCACTCTCTGCTTTTTTTACATGCTGAATAATAAATGTATAAATATATCCACACAAAACAAATGACCAACCATACAGTATGTAAGAAAAATGTAGTTTTTCAACATATATTATTTGTAAGAGTTATTTCAAACATAATTATTCATTACCGCTCAGTTAACAGAAGTAGTGTTTGAAGGGGACATCGGATGCCCATTTTCCACGAGTTGGTATGGCCTTCAAGAAATGTCTGCAACATACTTTGGTTAAAATTCCTCAATGGTCATGTAAAACAACACCCTCTTTACCTCGTCAAAAACAGCTCTGTTCACAGCGACCCGTTTCGGTGCATGTCTCTTTAAATGCTAATTAGCTCTGCTCACCCCACCCCTCTCTTCCGTTTTTTGTGTATTCAGTGGCACCTTAGCATCAAAAACAAAACTAATCCACTGCGTCCTCAGTGGCTCTGATGTTGGGAGAAAATGAAGACTCTTATGTTCACATCCAACTACAAAGCACCTGCATTACTTGGTGTGGCTACAGCTGCTCGAGCGCGGAGAAAATGACTGAGGGTGGAGATATGCTAATACGGGCCAGTCCGTCAGCGGTCGTGGGCGGGGCCTGAGGATTATGACATCATATTGCACAGAAAATCAAAACGGCTTGATTACTGGGACTGTTTAGGTTTTTGGGGATTCAAAAAAAAAGTATTGAATGGATTTTTATGATTGTAGGGTGATTGTGTCTCCACACTGCTAAGACACATTTCTATGCAAACATCATGTAAAAGTGATTTTTTTTCCCCCTGGTGTTCCCTTTAAAGAATTATGTTTTAGTGCAAAAATATTGGTAATTCACACCATGCACTCAAAATTTATTAGAATATGTCACATCTGTTTGGGCAGTTTCATAGAGTCTAGCTACAAAAAATTCAATGCAATTGAACCTCAAATTGTATCCAGAAATTTCGCATACGCGTAATTTCACACTGCTCCCATACTTCTCTGGAAATGAATGACTTCTGGTCCGTTGTTTGTCAGTGATGGTGAAAAGGTGGTTTAATATTGCGCTTACAGGAAAGAGCTCAGCTGTGGATTGGTTGCAGTGCATTGAGATGGGAGAGGTGAGGTAGAGGGAGTTCAACACCTCCCCGCTGAAGCCGTCCCAGGATAGCGAGGAGAACTGCTCTTCCACCGTAGTCTGGGGACAACTGCAACTCTCACGTCCCTGAAACCTACACAGATGACAATAAAACGAGACTTTAATAGGCCTTTTATTTCTTTATTTTTTTAAATATCCACTCCAAAACATCTCCTCATAAGGTGGAAATTTGGTTCCACGGCCACAAAACCACTTTCATAATTCATCTGATTCCACTACAGTGTTGCGAAATTGCTTTTTTTAAGTTTGGAAAAATGTAATTTGCCAGTGCAAAATGGAAGAATACAAATGTCATCTGCCTGCCTTTGTTTTATTCATTGCTGAAGAAAACCTATTTCTGTTTTGTTTTTTTCATCTGATTTCGTAGAGGAAATGAAAGCATTCCTCTTGTCCTCAGGCAGTTAGTCTCGAAGCCAGATATTAGTTTGAAATGCGCTGGTTTTTGTTGTTGTAGCCTGACTGGGTCAGAGCGGTGTGGTACTGCGACAGCAGTGTTGCTATTTTCAAGGTTTTCTTCTCATTGTGAGGTAATGACTGTCTGGCATGTGTTAGACGCTCATACAGGAAGGTCGTGTTTGCTGTTTTTGGTGCTTTAGTTCAGTCTTACGGACACGTGATGTACCTGTTGATGAGACTGAAGTATTTCTGCAGGTAATCTGTGTCCACGTGGCTCTTGCACAGCTCCAGCTGTGTACGGGGGTAATAATGCACGTAATTGATACACATCTCTTCCATGATCCCAAAACCACCCTGCAGAAGTGACAGAAACAAAGCCACTGGATTTGAAGTGAATAGTGACTAAAGTCTGTCTCTTACACAAAGCTCTTATATATAGTAGCTTCAGAAGACCTGTACAGAATTGTTCAATTTCAGGCTTCAAATTTCTTGGCATAAAATAACTACAATTAATGTTGCCTGGTATTAGCACCAGCCTTTTGTTCATACTGTAAACGTAATAATTCATGTTTCATGATGGGGAACACTCATTGCTTCATAATTAAGGGTTTTATTTTATTTTATTTATGCATTTATTTGGAAAAATTTATCTTCCTTCCTTGCTTTTTAAGGGTTACTAAAAAAAACTTTTCATGAGGGTTCGGTGTAATATTTTATTATAATATATTCAAATTTGCATATATTAATTAAGTGCTGCAGATTTGATGCATATTTAATATATTTTAAATGTTTACCTGGGTGAAGTAACAATGCAAAAAAATGATCATTCAATATGACAAAAAAATTTTTTATTAAATAATTTGTTAAATGAGCATCTGACAAAAGAGGCTGACATTTACCAACCTCTGATATGCTGATCACATAAAAAAAAAAATACACAAATAAATGTTTTCTTGTGGGTTCAGTATAATATATAAATTGCATGTTTAATAGCAAGATGCCTATTTGCGTATCTTTAATGTCTGTCTGGGTTAAGCAACCTGGGAACTCGCCCTAAGTTTAAAAGTAAGTGTATTAGTGTGGCTTTAATGTAATTTAAGCAGCTCTTCATTTAAACTTGTATTATACTGTGCAGAATGATGAGAAACCTTGCAGTTTGAGAGTTTTGTCCTGTTTGATTTCCAACTAATCAATCTGTAATCTTCTGCTAGTCAAACATCTCGTCTGTACCGTACTAAATTCTCACGAGATGTCATTTTAGTCTTGAATAGTGTTGGACTGAGTCAGACTTACCACGGTAACTTTGTCCCTGTCTTCAGTGTTATACGTGCACTTTGTGACGAGAGCGTCGCCCTGTGGAGTAGACAAACGCACAAAGCAGCGATCACACATGATCAGATGGGGTTTAGCACTCAGCTATTTGTAGAACATGCTAGAATGAATGTCTCTTGGCAGGTTAGCATTAAAATGGCAGGCTCAGCCGTGTGTGTGGGTGCTTGTATTGACAGTCTAAATGCAGCAGATCTGCGCTTTTGTTGGTGGCTTGCTGGTTCCAGGCGTTTCCTGTAACGTCTGCAGCGTCTCTCTTTCTCTCATCTAAACACGCTTCAGCTTGTACATGTGTGAAGAGAAACTTACTGGCAAAACAGTCACCATCTTCTTTAAAACACGGATAATCTGCACAAAAAAGGGAAAGGTTACAAATGTTAGTGTTTGATTGAGTTTTCTTTTAATGTATTCGAACCGAAACGGGATATATCATTTACAGCACCCTAAGATTGTGTCAGGTCAATGTTTTTGTGCTACTGAGGTACTATAGTACAGTCATTGTAGAAGATGGGGATTTACATGATAGTGCTGGTATTTTAAAGGCCATGGTACATATCTAAAAAACATGGTAATATTGTGTTACTTTGTGAATTCAAAAAGGCAGCCCAAAAATAAACCATAGCATGTTTAACATGTATTTCATTTAGGGATTTTTATAGTGTGTGTGTGTGTGTGTGTGTGGGAGTGACAAAAGCATCAAGTGTTCAGGTATACCGCAGGGAATCGTGGGTAGTTGACATGTCTCAAGCCGTGAGCAGTGCATCTGAAACTGTTATACACTGCAATCATATCGACTGAGAGACTGAAAGGAACATGTTTACTTTCTAAAAGTATTTAAGCCAACTGCAAAAGAGTTTATCCTGCTGAAAAATTAACAAATAAATAAAACCGATTTACATGATAGTGCTGGTATTTTAAAGGCCATGGTACATATCTAAAAAACATGGTAATATTGTGTTACTTTGTGAATTCAAAAAGGCAGCCCAAAAATAAACCATAGCATGTTTAACATGTATTTCATTTAGGGATTTTTATAGTGTGTGTGTGTGTGTGTGTGTGGGAGTGACAAAAGCATCAAGTGTTCAGGTATACCGCAGGGAATCGTGGGTAGTTGACATGTCTCAAGCCGTGAGCAGTGCATCTGAAACTGTTATACACTGCAATCATATCGACTGAGAGACTGAAAGGAACATGTTTACTTTCTAAAAGTATTTAAGCCAACTGCAAAAGAGTTTATCCTGCTGAAAAATTAACAAATAAATAAAACCAGTCTAAGTTGGTTGACTGGTCTTAGCTGGTTTAAGCTGGAAGTAACTGGTTTTAACTGGTTTCCCAGCCCGACCAGCTGAAGAAGTGGTCAAAACCCCTCTAAAACCATCCAGCAAACCAGTTATGACCAGGCTGGAAGACTAGCTAAAACCAGCCAACCAGCTTAGGTTTTTCAGCAGGGTAAAATAAATGGTGAACAGTTACAGCATCATAAATATACTGTACACAAATCAGCCTATCAGAATGATTTCTGAAGGATCATGTGACACTGAAAACTGGAGTAATGATGCTGAAAATTCAGCTTTGCATCACAGAAATAAATTATATTTGAAATAGAAAACAGTTATTTTAAATTGTAATAATATTTCACAAAATTACTGATTTTACTGTATTTTTTGATCTAATGAAAGCATCCTTGGTGAGCATAAGAGATGTCTTTCAAAAACATTTAAACTGTTTCACACTATTGAATGATAGCGTATATATGTACATTTTAAAGTCAAAGTGAAACAATCAATTAACACCTGTTATGTGACTAATGACTTCAGTAAATTCACTAAATGAAGCAAGAAATTGAAATGACAAAATGAGGACAGCAGTTGATTTTATAGATTGGGAATTGATTGGGTGTTCCATTCCAAGTGGGTGTGGTTTCTGTGTAAGCGGTCGGAGGGGATTGGTTGAAAAAATCAGAGGGCTTGATGATGTCAGTAGAAAAGAAAAGTTGTTTCATATGTGAAGTTATTACTTTATGATGAAATATTACAACAAACGTTTTTCATTTGGAATAACGTGCATGCATGAATCATGCACAATAAGACCAGGAACATGTATTAGGTGAAATTTAAAGTGAAAAGGCACATTTTAAATGTCATGTTGAAAACTCAAACTTAAACTTGGTTTAATACCTGGTAGTGAGTGCTGAAATGTTTGTCCTCCTGTACCACGTCCACCTCTCTGCCTCCTCGTACCAGGACGGTCCTCACCCCGAGTCCAGCCAGATGAGTGTGCAGCTGGGACGCAAAGATGTGTATACCGCCTACAGGAAGAGCCTGCAGGACAGAAAACACTGCTTCAATAATTAATATTTGAACTATATTTTTACATTGTATGAAGAAAATGTGAGTAATTTTAATGCTAGAGTGTTGCCGGCATGTTCTGAGTGGTGGCTTTTTGCATAATTTGCCTTAAATAGGGTTGGGCGATGTCTACAATGAAACATCGCGATGGACGGTGACATCGGCGGGGCGGGGCGGGGGATTAGGGGGTGTGCCCGAAGCTTGAATCTGTATTCAGAAAATGATTGCTAAAGGTTGCCTGTTACATTACAGTACATACAATTTCACTTACCACATAAACAGAGTAAGGAGAGACGATGGCAAATGATTTGCAGATCCTCAGCACCACTGACAAACATCTAATCTTGTTAAATGTGTGGTAAGTACTGCCGATCGAAAATCTCGAAAGTGAAAGTGAAACTAAAAAGCGATCCTGCATTCAAAAGCAGTTTCAATGCCAGGCATAATAGCGGCTCCCTGATGCCCGTATTTATTCTCTTTAGGGGTTCCGTATGCACTTCATTTTCTTTCCGAACACGGTATTAGGATGCGGGGGGTATGGGGGGGGGGATTCACAATATCGGCTCAACATCGTGATGTCTATCAGCCATCAGCCATAGCATCGTCTATCGGCCCAACTCTACTTAACAAGCCATATGATTTGAACAGTTACTTAAAGTTATACAGTATTCCTTCTTATATAACTATGTTTTTAAACATTATTTCTCTAGTTGATGAGCTTTTTCCACTGTGGGCTGGTTTATAAGACTTTTAGTACACCCTAAATGAGAGTGATTTTCTTTTTTTTAATGGGGAGTCTCGTGATTGCATAATTTGGTGAATATCGGCCTTAATCTGTTTTCAGGAAGCCACTCAATGTGTTTTAATTGAATTCAAAGCCTGCGTGCATGAATGTATTCGGCTGGCTTGAGTGAAGTGCAGTGTTTAGGAGTGTTTGTGAGACGCGCGGACCGTCTGTGTGCATTTGTCGGTGCAGTAGCCAGTCAGCTGGAAAGCGCGCTGGCGGGGAGGAATGGCCATGACAGGAGTGTAGACTAGCCCCAGCTCCATGATGCCTGCGTCAAACCTCCTCAGAGATGGAGTGTACCATAAACGAATGCCCGAGGAGTCCCTCCGTCCTGTGACAAACACACAGAATGAGTCAAGAGGAGCTGTGCATTCAGGAATGAAAGGAAGTAGACTGGAGAAATCAGTCTGATGAGTAGTTTAGATTGAGATTGGCAAAAACATTAGTTATATATTAGTCTTTGCATACTAGCATGCTGTTCTTACTGTTCATGCATGCATACAATTTGTGCACATTGAGTGTTTCATCAACTACAGGCACTTAAAAACACAGAAAACATTTGGTCTTATTCACTGATAATTGCATAGATTATTCATATTTATATGAACAGGAGAAATTCTCACATAAAATGTTTAGCTTAATTCACAAGATGTGTATGCACATCATTCTAATGGTAATGAATTTGTAGTGTAATAAATGAGCAACCATGTACCTGAGTTTAGTCATTTGCATAAACGCATCCAAACTCTTTCCATATGTTCTTTCAATGCTATACCCAGAGTTTGTCTTTATTTTATTTGTTATTTTTCTGTTCAAAAGTTATTGATAAATCATGATTTTATTTGTAAAAAAGAAAAAAAAAAGGCAGATTCATGCTCACGTTTTTTTACATTTTGGGGATAAATTGACCTTCTGTAATGCTAAGCCTATTTTTACAAGTAGCATTTTTTTATACAATTGCATAATATTTTCTCACATAATTTGATAAAATTACAGGTGATTTACATTTTTTTTCTCCTTGCTAAACAAGTACAACATATGAATAAAAGGATTACGAAACGACACAAAATTTTGTTTAGATTATCATAGTTTTAACCCATGTAAACTATTTTATGTTTTTATGTACTAATTCATATTTTTATGATTTTAATATTTTATGATTTAAAGGCTCTGAGAAAAAGGTCAAACAAAACATACAAGAAGCATTTGAAAAGTAGCAGAAGAAAAATAATGAAGGCATGAAAATGGCAGTTTTAATGTGTCCATCATAAAAAAAAAACTGAAATGTGTTAGTTTTAATAAAAATCAACTACTGGGAGACAACGGTAGAAGTGCCAAAGTTGGAAAAAAAATACCTACAGTGTACTTAGAAACCCTGGATCCTACTATATTTGCACTCTCCAAAAAAAAAACACACACACACTGTGCCAAATACTGTATCCCACAATGCAATGTGCTTCACTTGAGGTAACATATGCCACAATTTCTATCATCTCCTTCTTTTATTTAGGCTGACAAAAGGTAAAACATAATCTACTCAAAACTAGATTAAAAATGCAAAAATAAGTGGTTTTACTTGATAACTGAAGTAAATACACAATGAGGTCATTGCTAGAATTCTAGCATTCTTACATAATGTCCACTATTTCACAGGCTATTTTTTAGGAATTGCTAAGTAGTGTATAGTGTATATACTGTGATGATGCAGCATTCTGAACATAGTCTTAGCCAACTAGGCTGAAGTGCATCTTTGACACAGTTTGTGTGCTGCATACCTGATATAAGGAGAGGGTTGTGGTAATGAACTTCAAGCCGAAGGAATCTAGAAGAACCTTCTCCTCCCAGAGGCAAACCAGCATCAGCAGGGTAGTAGAATGGCTGCACGTACAGACACACATTCAGAACTTTATGTGAATTTAATAAGATTGATTGTGGGGCAGCGTAGCTTCTGATTTATGCTTTACAGGCTAAAAGATATTTGAGCCAGTGCACAAGAAGCTTATGCCAACTCTGACTCAGTCAGAGCCAGAAAAGTCCTGTAGATCCATGCCAGTTCACGACCAGCGGTTTAGACTTATAAAGGATAGCAAAGAGGAAATCTAAACCCTTATCAGTCTACTTTTAAAACTCATGTGAGAAAGACCTCTTTACGTAACCGTCCTACTTCCACCTCCAGTTTCTCGCCCCATTCCCGTTTCTCTCTCTCCTGGCTCTCACCCACTCCCCCTCCTTCTCTCACAAGGCATTAAAAAACATTTAAAAATGAAATGATGAAAAAAATAAAAGACAAACTGCAATCTACTGAAGAAAAACATCTAAATTTTGCTACATAATCTCATCTCTCCAGCTTGACATTGGCAGCTAGCAGAACACATGATTTGTGTTTGTTTTACTCTCATGTAATCTCATTGGAGGCCCGACTCTCTTTCTTTCTCTCTCTATCTCTCTCTCCGAGCTCAGCATCGGTCCTTGGCTCCATAACTGATTTATCAGGACGCCTCTGCTTTCAGATTGGCTCACAGCTCTGCTCAAACCATGACTGGCACCTACCTAGAGTGGGTGAATTGGCACAGATAAAGCCCATCTGTATGTTTGCCTCTTAAAATGGACTCCTAACGATGCTAATAATCATATGTTCTGTTTTTTGCTCACAAACTTAGCGCTAAAGAGGGAGAAACTGGTGTAGAAAGTGACCTCAATGAATGTGATTCATGATGAAACATTGCGAAACATCGAAAGCATACAGTCAGAAAGGATTGCCATAAAAGTACTATTAAACTAAAGGGGAAGATTTTACTCATTTCCATACATAAAGCAATTATATGGCTTCAGAAGCATTGATATATAGCAAATGTGTCATTGAGACCACTTTTATGGTAATTTTACAGAACCGTTGTCTGTGTTTTGGAGCTTGACACACCTTGCTTACTGTATATTTTTAAAGGAAAAGAGCAGCATGAACATTCTTCAAAATATCTCGTTTTGTGTTCTTTAGAAGTAAGCAAGCCATACAGGTTTTGAATGGCATAGCAAGCTACTTATAACAGAATTTTCATTTTTGAGTGAACTGTCACTTTAATTCTATACTATGTAAATGCATTGTGCAGCAGCTTGCATACCTCCGCTCCCATGGCCCAGGCAGCCAGAACGTGTCGGCAGTAATTGAGTTTGCGGGGCTTCATCTTTGAATCACAAGAGCCGCTGTATTGAGGCACGGTGTCCATCTGAGGAGAGCATTCGAACACTTCGATGTGATGAACAATGGCTTCATTACCAGGAGTGATCACAGACTCGTACTGCAAATAAAAATAAAAAATAATAATCATTTGTTTTAACCATTAATAACCAAGATTAAGAGATGTGAATTGATTGAGGAGGGAGAAATAAGTTAACTACTGTAATTTTTCATTCAGAGTGTGCAAAAAACCAAAACTCGTTGTTTGCCGAAAAAATGAAGAGGTGCAGTGAGCAGCATAAAAGAATGCAGGATCCTCACACGGATTTAAAAAATATTTTGTTGAAATTTCTGAGTTCAAAAACAAGATGTTTGTGCATGATTCACAGAAAAAGAGACCCTGTGCAATTATCAGATATTTGTCTGAAGTGTTTACATAGAAAAAATTAAAAAGCAGTGTAGTAGAACAAAAATGCATTAAATGGTTCTTAAAAGAACCATGTTTTCTTAATGTGAAGAACATTTTAATAATCTAAAGAACCCCTTTTCCACGAACCCAAGATTCTATGGATGTTAAAGGTTCTTCATAGAAGAAAATGGCAATAAAGAAGCTTTATTTTTAAGAGTGCCTGATGGGATAGTAAAGTTTCCATTAAATGTGCCCTACAGAATCTCAGTGGAAGTAGTAGGTCATCCAGGTACATTTCGCCTACTGTTTTTCGAACACTATGAATTCGGACACACTACTCTTTCACCGTACTGTTTTTCCACATACTATAGTAGGCATATTCGGGCGTAGCGCCTGGATTCTTTTCCATTTTTCAGCATCACATACTGAGTTTTTAAATGAGAACGAGTTGTGAACGGCCCCGTAGAGGTTTGTTTAAATCCCAAACTCAAAGTCCAATGTGATCAATAGTAATACTGATGACTGCATTAGAAACTCCATTAATTATATTCAGATCCAGTTTACATCACCCAAAAAGTGTTTTACTAAAGAGCGTTATAATTGGTCAAAGTACCTCATATGCACCTATTATATAGGTATCATGTCTCTGAAAGTTCACATAGAAAGGTTAAATGTAATGTGCAAGTGGCTCCAAGATTTTCAGGTTACCATGACAATGTGGTTCTTGGGCATATTAGGCGGGAGCTGATAGATGTGGCACCAGTAAGTGGTTTCCTGTGTGGGGATGATGACATCAGGGGCCAGGACCTCCAGAGTGCGGACATCTCTCGGGAGAGCAGGGGACGGAGTGTCTGGACGCAGGAGCAGCACTCGCTGGACGCCAGGCTGGAGACGGGATATGTTGAGCTCATGCAAAGATAGGATGGGCCGCTCCAGCATGGCGTAGATGATGTGGACAGTACCTTCCTGGAAATAAGGAATCCGGTTGTTATTTTTGTCATTATTTACATTCACTTTGATGTTTTTCCAGACCCATGTTCATTCTATGGAAAAGAGCAGCCTGAACATTCTTCAAAACATCTTGTTGTGTATTTCAAGGAAAAAAAGAAAATCATACAGGTTTGGAACGACATGAGGGTGAGTAAATAATGACAAGGTTTATACACATTTAATTTAGACTCTTTCCTAACACTTCCAAACATTTAGGCCAGGAAACAATACTATATTTCTTACATGCTCACAGCAGCATGTTGTGGATGTATTGGCAGTAGCAAGTCTCGGTACTTGCTCTGCAGCAGCAGCAGCAGCAGCGTAGCAGATCTATTCCACCAAGACCAAATACATTAACATTGTCATGTACATTACCATGCCAATCCCTCCGAGAGTTGTCATGACAGAACTGTATTTTAATATAAGATCCTTCTGAAATCATTCTAATATGATGAATTTGAGATCTTTTCAGCATTTACTGCCAGCTTTTTTTTCAGCCCTACAATGTTTTGACTTGCTGTCTGTAACTCTTCTCCTTGACATACGCAGTGGGAGGAAGGATGAGCGGCTGGCTATATAACGTTTATTCAAAACAGACCAAACTGTGCAGTCCAAAGGCAAAATAATGAAATAAATCATGCATAATGAATGAAAGGGGGCCTTGACACACACATGACCTTCTACTTTCAACCACTTTATTTGGGGCGCGGCGGCCAAAACCCAGACGTGAGCTGTTCAGCTCGATGTTAGGAAGGAGTATTGCACTATACGACTGAACAGGAGCTCTACCAGCGTGTGGGTGTCTACTGTAGCCGGGCAATCATAACAAGATCCAGAAAGCAAGACTCTTCAGGCTCAAGAGTAACAGAGAGAGCTTGCTCTGACACTGGGGTTAGAAAATCGTCATCAGTTGTTCATAATTCAACAACAAAAAAATCACAAGTTGAGTGCAGCCTTTTAAATAGTTCACCCAAAAATGAAAATGCTGTCATTATTTGCTCAACTTCATGTCATTCCAAACTTGTATAACTAATGTTTCTTCTGTTCAAACCAAGCGGCAACCTCCCGCTCTCTCTCGTGAAGCCAACACGGAAGTGACTTAAACTGTAATTCGTCAACTGGCCGCTAGAGGCTGGCTGCAAAAGGGAGTCAATCCCATAGACTCCCCATGTTAAAATGCCCAACTTTACAGCAGAAAAAAACGTTTACAGCCTGGTTCAAAAAATGATTTTGGTCTATATAGCTAATTTTGCACTTCATGACAACTGTGAGGGGGGGTGAATTTTTTTATAACTCACCCGTTTAAATTATATTAAGCCTTAAAATTCTGCATAATTAAGGGCGTGGCCACTTGAGTGACAGGTGGATTGCCGCCGCTGACACTGCTGTGAAGCTAGGTGGGCGTGGCTTCAGCAACCAGCTCCCGCCTTTTTGCCCATTTTCGATTATCCGGGAGTGACGCGCTGCCAAGATGGCGACGGCCGGCTCCGCCCACTTTGAGCTTCAAAAACGCTCTTCAGAAAACTACGGGTGACGTCACGGACACTACATCCATGTTTTTATACAGTCTATGGTTCAAACACAAAATACGTTTTTAAGGCAAGGCAATCATTGTTTTTTCAGGCAGTTTTGAGATTTTTGCCTTTTTTTGGCCATAATGTGTTGTCTTTCACAATAGTAGAAAGACCAAATTTATAACTCATCCGTTTAAATTATATTAAGCCTTAAAGTTCTGCATAATTAAGGGCGTGGCCACTTGAGTGACAGGTGGATTGCCGCTGCTGAAACTGCCGTCGAGCTAGGTGGGCGTGGCTTCAGCAACCAGCTCCCGCCTTTTTGCCCGTTTTCGATTATCCGGGAGTGACGCGCTGCCAAGATGGCGACGGCCGGCTCCGCCCACTTTGAGCTTCAAAAACGCTCTTCAGAAAACTACGGGTGACGTCACGGACACTACGTCCATGTTTTTATACAGTCTATGGTTCAAACACAAAATACGTTTTTAAGGCAAGGCAACCATTGTTTTTTCAGGCAGTTTTGAGATTTTTGCCTTTTTTTGGCCATAATGTGTTGTCTTTCAGAATAGTAGAAAGACCAAAGTACACATTTAAGTGTTTTATTTTATTATTCTTTATGTATTTGCGTCTGTAGATTTCATATACAGTACACATCTTTACACATTGTTCTCTCAAAAATTTTATTTTTTTTCTCCTGCACTGACCCAAAAATCTCCACTTCAGTAGCACTTACACGCATCAAACTTTACAGTTTTATTCCTTTCTATGTTCTGAAGGTTTTTACTGAGGGGTTTGTTTGTTTGTTGCAAATTTTCTAGCTGTTGACAGTATTTTCTGATTCATGGAGTGATAAAAAAGAGACAAGAATTTTGAACATGGCTTTATCCAATGTTTAGATTTTTGTTCTGGAAATGTATTCCAATTAGTGCATCTTTAATGATGTAATACCTCATTTGTATATTTAAACATAACAGAAAAGTTGTAATAAAAACCACTGTCTTAATGTACTGTAATTAGTTAACTGGGGCAAATATGGTGATATCTATGAGTTAAAATTTTTCCCCTATTCACCTGTCATGTCTTGCCGTAAATATGTCTTATATATTATTATATATTATTTTATATGCTACTACTACTTATATACTACTACTACTAATGTATTTATTTCGTTATTTTGTCTGTAAAGTGTACTGTAAGTCAATGGAATCCAAATTAACACTACCGGACCCCATTAACTTTCATTGTATGGACATATGGACAAAAGCAGTTGAATCATTCTTTAAAATATATTTTTTGGTGTATGTGTGTGTGTGCTCCACTTGTCATACAGGTTTGTAACAACATGAAGGTATGTAAATGATAACAAAATTATAATTTTTGAGTGAATTATCTCTTTACCAAAACAAAAACCCTCATATTGACAAGATTCTACATTATGTTGCATCAGTTTCCTGCTCATCTCAAGTATGTATTTTGCAAAAGCACATAATCCTACACCGTCCCTGGAGCAGATTTGCAACACCATAAAGCAAAAACCATCATAGAAATCAAATCGTATAAACTATTCTTACCCCAAAATAGGATTTGTGACCGTCGTCCCACAGAAGGACCAGGTCGGCATTTATGGGCTCTCCCCGATCGGACATGCCCAGCAAAATGCCATGGTGGAGCTCTTTGACTTTCAGCTCTAGATAGACCTCCTGGGTGGGATAGCTGATGTTCCAGGACAGCTCCAGCTGACCCGAGGGGTCCAAGGGGATGTGGTAGGCCAGGGCGGGTCTGGAGTGGACCGCAGGAGCCTGGTAGGAAGCCACCAAGAGCACCACCACAGTGGCCAAAACGGTGAGGTACATGAGGGTGACGTCTTGCAAGCGCAGGTCTTTGTTCAGAAGGCGCATTGCCTCTGTTGTCTTCTGCTTGAAGGCCCTTCTGTTGTTCTTTAATAGGACGTCTTTGGGCTTTCCTGAAGATATTCTCTCGCCTCTAGTTGTAAAAACGTTTGATTTGATTTCACTATAGTAGCGTTCACTCCTTTTCGCTGCTGTTGTTCTTGAGAATATCTGTCGATTTTTCTTGTCTTGACTTCTTGGACCCGGCTTCAGTTTGATGTCTCAGTTGGTAGGTGTCCACTGGTCCTTGTGTTGGTCCACTTCTGTTGGCTGTGGACTCTCTCTGGCTTTTAAGAGCACGAGCACAACCTCGACTTTAGCCTGCCTTAATTGTATTAGCTGGGTTAATGAAAATTCAATTGTTTATTTTGCCCTCTGGTCAAACTTTTTTCTAACATCTGCTTGTTGTGAGCAAGCAGGGCGGATTTCTGCAATGCGAACTTTTTTCGTTGATGTAGATGTGAATAAGTATTATGAAAAATAACTGACTTGTAAGGTGGTTTGTGATGTTAGAGCGCATTAGGTTATATGCATGTGAAAATTGCATTGTTTTGCATTTGCCTGTTTCTTGTTACATGTACTTATTATAGCAATAACAGTGTAATTATGCATATTTATACAATGAAAAATGACAAGCAACTAGCCTAACCCTAAACCTATAATAAGTACATGTTTTTAATTAATATTGTGCAATTACTGTATAATAATAGGAATGCCTTAAAATAAAGTGTAACCAAAAAAGTATTGATGGATCAGGTTAATGATTTTATTAAGTTTACGAAAACTAATTATAAATAAAATCTCAACTTGATAAAACATCATAAGAGCCTTTATGAAAAATGGTACATTACTGTTTGGAGTATTTAAATAAATAAATAGATAAAATACAATGAATTTTCAAATGCAGAACTTTTCAAAGTGATGTGCACATTGTGGAAGTACACATCTGTCTTATTTTTCATAATTATTTTAATCATTTTTGTTATAATTATTATTACTACAATATAGCATTGGTGTCTCTGGGACCGCCAAAGTGAGGCTTTATAGTGCATAACAACAATTATGATTCATCAATATTGAGGTCATATCAGAGATGTCTGTTGGGTGCCTGGGAAGGATGTTTTTTCTTTAGTGGGAAATAAAATGCTGCACATTAGAAAGCATAAATGTCAAGTTATCACGGTTAATGGAAACAAAAAACACTAATTAAGCTCTAAATGAATGTGCTGTTAGCTGCTTCCGTCTTTTTCAGTGATCTCTAGTGTGAGGAAGAGAGGTTTGGTCAGATCATTAGACATGCAATGGCTGTATAGACTTTAAATTGATTTACCTTGGCATGTAACATAGTTTATAGTATATTTTAAAAATTATCTGTATATGTATATTTAGTATTTTGTCAAAAATATGTACTTATAGTATTTTGTAAACATATTTTGCATCATATATTATATAGTATAGTAACTAGATTTGTATTTGTATGACATGTTTGCTTATGGCATATTTAATTAAAAGTATACATGCACATTTAAAAATTATGTATTATTATTAATATTTTTGTATAGTATTAGTATTAATAGTACCTAGTTGTATTTTGATTATTAATTTATATTACATATACTGCAGTATATATTATATTAACAACATACATTAATAGTGTAAGTATATTTGTATAACTGCGGCATGGTTACCTCGCAAGCTTTATATTCGCACAGTATTATTTAGCAGCGTGTGTGACAGATGTGTGCTCTACTGTTTGTTTGGAGAAAGATTATTTCTAATGGCCGGGCTTCTGGAAGGAACCACCTGTGCCTTCATCCTTTCGCTGGTTTATAAGAAATGAAAAGATATTGAGATGAAACACTCACAGTAACCTTCTTAACGCACATGCTCAAATGCCTTGGAGCCAAAGCGACACGGTGCAGCTGCTGCCACTTGTGTCATCTCAATCAAGAAACATGGAGAGCTTGTTTGAGGGATAAAGGTTATTTAGGTCCCTGTGGCAGTGGCGGGAGGCAGTGTGAATGTGGGAGGGGTAAGACAGGAACAGATGCCCGTCTGATCGGCTAATGAAATGAAGTTATGGGGCCAGAGGGGTGTTCGGTGCCCCGGAGACATGACTGTTCCTCGAGTTGGAGCAACAGATCATCAGTCCTATGACACGCTGAACCCGGCCTGATCTGGACCCAAAGGAAAAAACAGGTAGAACTGGATTCTGGATTTTCTGAAGGAAGTGTGAGTTGTATTTGCCCGTGCAAAAGTTGCCAGTGTATTGTGAGTGGTTGCCAGGGTGGGGCTTCATGGTTACCAAGGTGTTCTGAGTATTTTGTTTTTGCTGTGTTGAGTTGCTATGTAGTTGCTAGGGTGCTATGGGTGATTTCTAGGCTTATAGCTAAAGTCAAAAGAGAGAAAGAAAAACAAATGAGAGAGAAATTACGACAGGGAAAGTGCAGAATGAAAGGAAAATATAAAATTTGTTGTCCCTGAAATAGAAAATGTTTTTCTTTTGTTTTGTTTTTTGCTTTGTTTCGTATTTTAGCTTTGCTTTGTTTTACAAATAAGAAGAATCAAACACTAAAAAGTAAAAATATAATGTTGTTTTGTTTTGTGTTTTGCTTTGTTTTACAAGGTAGACAATAAGGAGGATCAAACACTAAAATTTACAAATAGAATTTTGTTTTATGTTTTTGTTTTGCTTTGTTTTACAAGGGAGAAAATAAGGAGGATCAAATGCTAAAAAGTAAAAAAAAAACAAGGTCCTTAAAATCATTTTAAAACTATGTTGAACTGCACATGCCAAAACATCATAAATACAATTAGGGATCCAAAGGGTAGAAAATGCCCAGAAAATTTTCAAAACTTTGCAGAAATGTTTGGAAAATTTATGAATTTTCGGAAGCTTTTGGAAAATTTCTGGACATCTTCCACCCCTTTGCAACCCTAAATATAAATATATTATTAAATATAAAAATACTATAAAATGTATAAATATTATGAATGTATAATAAAAATAAATACATTATTAGAAATATTGTGAATTTTGGTTTCTAACATTTAGATTTTGGTCTCTTCGATGGTTTCATGCTCTCAACACTCAATAATTCATTGCACAAAACCCATATTTATCCATGTTGCAAGTCAATGTGTATGTAAGTCTTTTATTTGGTTTTTATTTATTTATTATAACCTGGACATGTTGATTTGAGCCTAATTTGACTGGCATCTACTGAGCAACAGATGAATTTGCTTCAAAATGCTGTAGAGTTTAATTGCACCGCCACTTATGACTACAACAAAAGATACGGGAAGCATTTTTCATCTATTTAAAAAGTTAATAATCCAAGTTATTAACCTTTAAAAGCTACCTATGCATGCTTATATGGTTAGTTGCATTGTACTATTCACATTCTGCTTTTTTGTTTCCCTTTTCCCTGCTGTTACGATCAGAACAGACCTTCAGCCCATTTTAGGTCGTGACCCATCAGTTTTAGTGTATATTTTGCATGTCGCACACACATGAATGTAACAAAGGGTGGCTGAACACTTGCTGACACACACCATTGAGGAGTCAGAAGGCCTGAGGCTCAAACTGACATTATCCAGCTTAGAACAGTCAGTCAGTCAGTCAGTATTACTGATTACACAGTATTACACACTGAACGCACAGAGAGAGAGAGAGAGCGAGAGACGTATCGGACTCAGGGTGTAAGGAGGGGTGAAGGGCTGGGAAGAGCTCTGGTCCTGTCACTTTCCTTCTGGTCATGTATAATGCACAGCCTTGCACTATAATAGAGCTTAATATGTAAGAGTTGAATAATTAATGCAATAAAAAGTACTTTTAATTTGTAAAACTGTCTTTTTTTTTAAGAACTACGTGAGGACAGTCTTAGTGTTGAAGTGAAAACTTCTCTGTGAGATGTATGCTACGGTTCAAAAGTTTGGGGTCAGAATGATTTTTTTACGTGTTTGAAAGAAGTCTCTTTTGTTTACCAAGGCTGATCAAAAATCCAGTAAAATAAGTAATATTGTGAAATATTATTGCAATTTCAAATAGGTGTTTTGCATTTTAATTTATTATAAAATGTTATTTATTTCTGTGATGTAAAGTTGAATTTTCAGCATCATTACTCCAGTCTTCAGTGTCACATGATCCTTCAGAAATCATTCTAATATGCTGATTCAGTGCTCAAGAAACATTTATTATTATCATCAATGTTGAAAACCGTTTTTGTTTTTTTTCAGGACTATTTGATGATCAGAAAGTTCAAAAGAACAGCATTTATTTGAAATAGAAGTCTTTTCTAACATTACGAATGTCTTTACTCTCAAATCTTACTGAACACTAAACTTTTGAATGGTCGTGTAAATTACATACGAGATAAACGAGTCAATGGCCTTGTTATTTACTCTAGTATACCAGACAATAATAACTGACACAACACACTAAAAACAATAAATCCACAAATATACAAATCCACCTGTACAACTGCTTTAGGGGCTATTCATACAGAATGTGGTTTATAATTCCACTGCACTACTTTTCCATTGTTTTTCTATGTAAACGCGCTAGACGAACGCGTTTGACTGTTGTGCTCATATCTTTTGCAGTCAAAAACATATGGTCCCTTATTTTGTAATAAATAAATGAGGAAACTCATGAGAAACAACGTAACTATTTTACGAGGTGCTATGAATTTGTATAATTTGTATTTTTAGAAAAAAGCATGAAGCTCCACCCCTAAACCTAAGTGCCAGTGGGGCTTAAGCAGATTGTATAAAAACGTGCAAAGGGAATCATACAAAATCATATGAATTCGCCAAAATGTAAAATACTTGTATTATTGATATTGGTTAAATCAGTAGAGCGGATCACTCCTGTTGTCCTGACAACCACTTAACTCAAGATGAAATTAATGATGAAAAAAGCTGGAGAAAAGGCTGGCAAAGCTTTGAACCTTTCTAAGAGCACTCTGAAGTCCATAACCCAACCCAATCAAACAGCAATGATAGCG